CCACACTAGTCGTCTAGACTCACGGGTACGATCACGGCACAGATTGGAAGCCACGAGCACTAATAGCCTTCTCCCAGCTACGTAAGCAAGAACACAGTTAGTGCACAGCAGAACGTGTACTCGACACACAGGAAGCAAGTCAATTTACAAGTTTTACTCTGATGCTTATATGTGACTCCAAATAGCATCGATTAATGCAAGAAAAGATTGTACCAATCAAATACACAGTTAACAAGGTTCAATCGGTCATAGATCAGACGGACGGAGTAAATGTTTCTGTATGACGCAATATCATTGATTATTTTCCGCGAGATTTGTATTGATTAGAGATGCTGCTAATTGAAGATACTCGAAAAATAGTCAGTTTTAGATAAAAATAGTCTTTTTACCTAACAGACCCACACTTTCTCTTGTTCTTATTAGCTTGTACGTAAGCGTAAAACCCTTTGGGCTTATACTCAATGTGCAGCGTCTAATTGCTTTCGTAAATATGTTTCTCTTGTCGTCTTAGGGTCTGTGCTTCGTTGCGGCCTTTCTTGTATTGAAGCCGTTCCTGACGCGTATCATATGTTTCACAGTTTGCCGTGAACCTGCGTTATTTCAGTTCCCCTGTTGCTTGAGCGTGCACCACACTAGACTGAAACATAATGGCGCAAACTCATCCATCAGTCGACATACCTACTTTAATCGTATTCCATCTCTATTCTACTGTCGGCTAAGATGATTCTGGTATCTAGATCTGCTCAATTGTTTCACGCAAGGCCACTGTAACATCGTACCAATGAGGGTTCTGGCCTTCAGTGCTTTACTGTCGGCCGGAATCTCAACAACAGACGATCATGTAGCCCAGTAGTTCTAGCTTTATTTCGCTCACATCTGACGCTTACCTATTAGGTCTAAAATGGAGAGCCTATGGTGATATATTAATCTTGTGGCCTACATAACATGTTATATTAACATCTCTGAGCTTATCCATTTGAAAAGAATTTTGCCTGTAGACGCGCCAGTTGCACGTGATTCTACTCAGTTGATCTCTGTGAGGTTGAGGTCTCAAACTATTAAGACCCTCTGGGACTTCAAAAAGAACCCCTACATAACTTCAAACAGTTCACTATCCTGGCCCGAGGTAGCCTGCTATGCTCTGTGCACACAATATACCCAGTGGTCTTCTACTGAAAAGCACATTGCACGCTGTTACCTAGATGTTGGGTGTGGCTAAGGTTTCTTGTGCGTCCCAGTGGTTGATATTAGCTTTAATCAATAACAGCACTCTATCTCCTCTATCCTCTTCTCTTTCTTGCTTGTAGACTGCATAACTATTGGAGCAGTGATGTGCCTGTTGAGCATTCATGTTTCTATGATCGCTATGATAACTGAATCCTGGTTTTGAATCCCCAGTTTGCCCCACTTAGATTTACTACTGCAGGCACTGGTGTATCACACAATCGCAGCCTCCGTCTACTTCCCGTTATTCGCTGGCATTATCCCCGGGAAATCCTCAGGCCCTGCAGCCGAGGGATCACCTAATTTTTTGACTTCTTCACCCCTGTGGGTTAGATTACTGTCTAAGTTCCCCCAGGAGAACTGGTGTCTTTCCCGACAGCTAATACACAGTTATCTCCTACAATTGTCCGCCGAACCATTCCTATGATGGGACAGTTTTTGCTTGGTATGGCTGATTCCTCCATTTGGCGTTTTAGACACAGTGGTTTTCCAGTTTGCCGTCGGCATTTCATTAGTAGCACATTTACCTCTAGAGCCTTGGCTGGCTTTTGGTTTAACTCTTGCCTTCTTATGTTGGTCTGCCTTCGGTTTGATTGCCGCGGGTTGGCTAACTCTTAGACCTAAAGCTGAAACCACAAAGACAGCTTCTAGTTCGTCTTGACCACAGGTTCCCTTACCGCCAATATCTTGTGACGAAGTGTTTTTAACAACTGTAGCCCAACTACCTACTATCTATGTTCATCCAGTGTTTCTACTTGGAGGAGCAGTCCTCTTTTAGACTTCCTTTTTCGGCCTCTGAAACAAGACGGATGTGTTTGGAATCTACCTTGTCAACCTTCACTTTGGGTCTAGATTTGGTGCCTGTACGATGCCATTTGATTTCGGGGTCAGTTTACTCAGGAGTGATGCCCGTTGTGTGAATGGATACTTCATTTTTCTTAATCGCCCCCTAACTTTCGGTTTAATGACTTCTTCGCTAGTTTTAGGTCGAACCTCAATTGTTCGCGATCGAACTTTGAGCTTGCGTATTGCAACAGACTCGATCCATTTCGGGCAAGAAATGTGATCTGCTAACCAGAGTCCCGTTGATGGTTTCTATGACTGCAGCCCTGGATAGAAGGCTATATCTGGCGTACCTACGGCTAAATGTTATTATTAATGGTCGCGGGTGGAGTGCCTTTTCACCCTTGCACAGTATCACTCCTTGATATTTGACAGTGATCATTGTAGAAGGCATTCCACCCAGGCAAAATACATTTTAAACACACCTGCGATCTGTCTCACGGCGAGATCTAGAGTCCCTGATCGCGGGCTCAGAAGAGTCTTATAGCAGTATGTTCCTAGCCCGACCTATAATAGCATGGTTGTTCTGCTTCAGGAGAGTCAGCGCTTCGTCAAGTCCCTCCAAACTTTAGCCTATGGCTTCCATATCTGTCTCATTATTGGCTTTCTTTCCCGTTTAAAGAGTCTTACTCCGTGGTTTTTCCACCCTTTTACCATTTTCTGAGTCAGTTTCTTACTTTTCTCTAGGTGAGCACTGTGCACTTTAGGATACTTAGGTTTCGGTACATTTTCCCCATCTAACGGTCTGAGTTCTCCTTTGTTATGGGCAAGAATTCTTCGGTTAGCATTAGACAGTGGGCACAAATCCATTTCAGGGATTTGTGTTGCATACAGTTCGTATGTCTTCTTGGATAGCTTGGAGCATCCTTGATGATATCAGAGACAACAACGATCGTACTGGATACTGTCGGTAGCATTGATTTGAAACCGTCGAGCCTTAGAGCTATAGTCTACACACACATAAGAGCCCTCGCAGTTGGCTAAATTAGTTTAAATGTAATTTATTCCCGGAAACCTTGGCACTGCAGCGTAAGGTACATGTCAACAAGGAATACCGTTCGATCAAAGGCTCACAGAGAAGAAAATTGACACACGATCAGGGACTCATGTATCTCTTAGTTGGATCCATATCCATGGAATGGCTAATGGGCCTCTGGCTAGCCACCGGCAGCTGTGCACCTAGCTATCCGAGGTGTATTGAGCACCTTGGACGTTTGACCCCGTCCGAAGGGTGTATGATCCGATGAACTGGACACCGGCTCTCAATCGATTGCGGTTTTCTTACACCACTCCGCTGTCTTGCGGGTCAGGCTTTGGCTAACCGAGGGCCCCAGTTGTGGATTACTTAAGAAAATTCACCTGCCTTGGCCTAGGTAACCTAGCAGTATTCAGGCCACAAGCCAATCACGGCTGAATACAAGATGATTGAAGGGAATCTCATATTTAGGTTTTACACCGGGCAAGGATTCAAGTTCTAAAAGCAGTAATATTATTGCATTTGATTGGAAAATATTGTGGGATAATGAGGAGGATTGGGGTTGCCTCCGAAAACCTCAGTATGGTCGGCGGTGCGTGTCTAAGGACGCGGCTGGTCATCCTTCCATTGCACCTCGCGAAATGCTCTCAAATAGCCTCTGCTGAGGAAGCCCTACTCATTGCCTTCTAGTGGTGGAGGTGTTTTCCCACCAAAGTGAGAGGACAGAAAGCACACATCCGGAGTTATAACGGGATTGATGGACCACTGATCAAATACTGCCAGGATACCCAGGCCAAGGCAGGTAAACTTTTTCGAGGAATCCACAACCGGAGCCTTCGACTAACCAAAGTCTGACCTGCAAAGCAGCGGGTGGAGGAGGGGGGGCGGAGTGTGGAAACCGCAATCCATTAGGGGCCGATGTCCAGTTCTTCAGAATACATGCCATTCGGACAGAGTCGAACGTCTAAGGTACCCAAAACACTTCGCTGTCCAATCGAGCCGGTGACCACTGCCACAACCGGAAAAGTGTGGGTGTGGTTCGTACACCTCGTCTTGGTTGGTTTTGAATCAGGGTTTTTGGCCAACTCCCCTAAGTGGACTGCCAGTGGTCTATCAACCTAGTTATAGCCCCGGATGTCTGCTTTTCATCCTCTAACCTTTGTGCGAGAACAACTTCGCCAAGAGAAGGCATTGAGTAAGGCTTCCTCAGGTTGTCTGGGGGCATTTCGCGAGATGCAAGGGAAGAATGGCCAGCCGCAACACTTGACAACCACCCTTGACCTTAGTGAGGCTTTCGGAGGTATCAGCGCAGCTCTCTAGGAGCGGCAAAAGACCCAAGTTTGAAAAGGAGAAGCGGTCGAGAAACGGATTCAAACGCATGCCAGCAGTCAATTAAAATGCAACGGACAGAGTTGACTGAATTGTCCTCTGATTTGCCCATCAAAATTATTTGAAGGCACACCGTCCAATGTAGATCTGTTTGGTTTATATGCAAACTGGAATGATCATGGGGATTTATGGTGACTGCAAATGTTTTAGGGTGGTTTTCTGAGCCACCTGTAGGATGGCAGGACAGAATGAAGTCGGTAGACGATGGAGACTTTTGTATTGGGACTGTGCTAATAGGAATCGATTGCGAAGACAGAATCAATAATATGGAATGTTGCCACATTGGCTAGGGGGCTATTCCAAATATGAGAAGCGCTGGAGGGAAGCCATCAGTTTGCGGTCGAGGAGTCCTTAGAATACCGGGACTCTTACGGAGTTTGCCATTGGAAAGTAGAACCGGATCGAGGTCATTTCACAGGAAGGTGGGAATCTGGCTTTCATTTGACGATTGGATGAAGGTGGCGTCGAGTTCATTGATGTTCACCGATGTGTTTTCATGTTAGTGCGTATATGTGTGTTTAACTTTGTTGTTATACGAGAGTGTTGCAATTTTTGATTGTCAAAACAAATGCAATTTACACTTCAGGATATTTCACGGTACGATTCGTTACCAGTCGGATTGGATATTGGAACGTTGAATTCTTCCATCAGCGTGTACCGAAATCATGAATTCCGCACGATCGAGGATGATACTGGGAAGAAGCGCATACAGTGAGTTCTATCTGTGCAATTAATGACAAATTTTATTAGCACATGTGTCGCGTTTCAGTCAAATCGAAGAATGTGTGGATCGTTGGCTTGGTCTTATCAATCCGATTCCTACGAAACATGCTACTTTGATTTCAAGCGATTCATCGGCCAACGACTCTCCTCAGAGGATGATGCGGCAAATATTATTGCCAAGCTTCCATATACCGTCCGTTATGAGCGAGAAAATGGCAACTTACAGTTTTCGGTGGGCTCATTCTGACCGGTATTCATTGTATGACTTTTCTTTATTTGACAGGTCGTAATTTCAGGGAATCGGATCTGGGTTACCGCGGAGCAGTTAATGATAATGTATCTGAAACACTTGCAAAGCTTAATAGTACAAAACGCGCACAAAGACAATTTGCTATGCGTGCTTGGTGTACCGGTAAGTTACACGAAATGTCAAAGGGATGCATTGCTTTCCGCATGCAAAGTTGCCAATCTAAACGCAGAACTCTTGGACGAGACCATAGCAAGTAAGAATTACAATGTTTGCATCTATTTCATCAATTGAAATGTACAGTTGCCACGGGTTTCGCACTCTCACAACCTCAAATACACGTCGGGTCCAGTTTCGATCGTCAGGTGGCTTTGATCAGCATTGGATACATGCACACGCAAGTTGCGATATGTGAATTTAAGCCTCAGTTTGTGCGAATCCTGGCCACATCATCTGATCCTGATCTGGGCGGGTTTCATTTTGACCGAATACTTTGTGACTTGATCTGTGAAGCTGTAAAAAGAACCCATCCTGATAAGGTTAGTTATCCCGTTTTTTCGAAATCTACTTTTGAACTCACCCAGTATGCCCAGATTGAATCACGCAGATTATTAGTTCACATTATGGCCGCATTAGATGACGTTAAGAAGTGCTTGAGTCGGGACGACTGGCAAATTTCCGTCCGAATCACTGATCTATTCCAAGTTGAAAGTGCGATCGTCGAACTCACGCGTTTCTCAATTCAGGTTTGTTCTATAGTTTTTTTCTTGCTGCTGCTGCTGCTACTGCTTCTGCTAATACACAAATCATCATTGTTAAACACTAAATGTTTTCTTGTGTGTGTGTTTCTGCTTGTACGATTATTTCAGACCAAATGCACAAATTTGTTGAACCGTCTGAAGGAAACCATACTGATATGTTTACGAGCTCCTGGTGTCTGTTCTGACCGAATTGACAGCGTTCAATTGATCGGTGGCACATGTCGCATGCGGGAGATTGTGGATACGGTTAAACACGCGTTTGGGAAGAAGATCAATACCAGTTTTCAAGGTGATGACCTCGTCGCTAACGGTTGCGCTTATCATGTATGTCATTTAACATTACACGTATTCTGTTTTCTTAAGTCAAGTCAATCATTGCGTTTTTCATCTACTCAAAGTAGCAGAAATATCAATCAATTCATGAGTTTGCTTATAACTTTGCAGTTAGTTTGGTATCAAATGCGTTTTGAGACATCCCTATCGTGTATAAAGACCGGCCATTTTTTTGCGTGTTGAAGCAGCGGCTTCCTAGCCTGTTCTGTGAAATTTTGATTAGTTTTCCCGAACACCCGTGATCGAACGCCTCCAGTCTTCCGATGTCATCCGCTCGCAGGTGTCAAGTATCGTAGCCGTATGTTATCACTAGGCCGAGGATCACAAGGCCAGTGGTGGTGGCGCAGTGGTTTAGTCGCTGTCACCGGCATGCTTTGGACCCTATGGTCCGGGGTTCAAGCCCCGTCACCGCCACCTGACTTTGGTGGTAGGCACGTCTGCTGTCGTCCGGTTCAATACCACACCTAACCTATCGGGGCCTTATGTGGTTCTCCACTCCAAGNCACTCCAAGTTCCGGGGCTTAAGTAGCCGGTTTCCATCACTGAACAGCAGGTCCTCTTGACTATGGGGTTTACCCCGTCTGCTGCTCATTACACGAAAATGTGTACTAAAAAACTAATCAAGTCAAGTATTTGCATTATGTATCCCGAAGGGTGAATACTCAACTGCCACGTAGTCAACCAACAGTGATCAAACAAAATTACATCAGCATTGTGGTAGGCAAGGAGAAAACAAAACAATATACCGTATGGCTGAGTTCATTTCCGAAGCAATGCGTTCTGGGCTGACAAGAAATGGGTGTCAAGATAAGGCACCATAGAAGACTGAAAGGTGGTCGTACGAGCAAATATACAGTTATAGCGGGACCGAGGGGAAGAAAAGGACACACTCGATTAGATCTTGGTGTAACGGATGTGAAGGGTTGTTTGTGATTTTTGTGGATAAAGGAAAGTACGTATATTGTGAAGCGATGAAGGGACAGAGAGTTTCATGGGAAATCGCTCTACTTCTCGATTAATGTGCTGAGGATCTGAAAAGCAATTAAAAGTCCTTCTTGAACATCTCTGGGAAAATTATAGGGAACCCGTACAACCATAGGGACAAAATACAAGCAAAGAAACTTTTAATTAGGAAGCGAGGGACGGATAATGCTTTCCGGCGTAGGACATAAAATGATAATTTCCGGACCTTTCCAAATACAGAAATAACTTGGTCAGATCGGCATTAATTTCGGTTGATTCACACACCAAGATAGCTGACACTTAGGGGTTGGATAAAAGTATCATCGCATATGTATAACGTGGGACACGATTCCAGGAGATTTGCATAAAGATACCTTCTCGGAAGTGAGAACAGCAGGTTTACGCATTTGGGGGGATTGAGAGTTGAGTTATGTGCAGTGGACAACAAATGTCGTATCTCCTTTCTCTCTATCTATATATATTTCACACATGTCTGACTCCAGACTGTGTCAAATAAATAAATAAAAAAAGAAAAACGTTCCATGATTGACTTGTGGGCTGAATACTACAAGGTTGCCCAGGTCAGGGCAGGTCTAGCTCTCTCAAGTGTACGCAGGTTGCTATGTTGAAAAAATTGTGCTCATGTGTGCAAGAATTGCTGTTCTAGGCGATTTATGATAAGCCCCTTGTGAAGGAATTCAGTAATTCTAAGAGAATAGAGAGGGAGCTATTGAAACATCGATCTGAAGATATTTGGCTTTTACAAAGATGAAATTCATCGTGTATATAGCAAAAGAAGCGTGAACTGAAAAGCCAGGAAGCACTGCCGGGCAGCTGTTCCGACCTGGTTGGACCTCATCATCAGCATCGCGCGAATCCATCAACCCAAATGGGGATCGAACCCGGAACCTCACAGGTAGGCATGCCACCCATGTCATGCTTACTGTGTTTATCATGCATAAAATCCTAATCAATGGCAATGGATCACTGATACAATGAGTGAGCACAAATGTGAATCTCTCTCTCTCAGTCTGTGTTCATCTACCTCTCTCTCTCTCTCACCAACTGAGATCTTACGTTTTTGGGGGAACTGAACCATGGTTGTTGTTCTAAACCATTTCTCATAGGCTGCCGCAAAAACAGGAAGTTTCCAGACTTCGATCACCGTGTTGGAGAGTGCCGGTGCACTGTCTGAAGAACAAATTCAGCACTACCGCTCAGTTGAGGTAAGTGTGTTTGTGTGTGTGCATGCAACGTTTTATCGTTACCATTATTATTATTAGTGAGGCACTTGCAACAAGGGCACAAACATCACATCGGTAAACAAACAAAACAAAACATTTCCAGTAGTATTTCCTTCTAACTTGAACTCCAAATAAATTGGCACTGTTTGTTGGGAAGGTATAATGCCCAGTGGTAACAATAATGCTACAGCTGGCCGTCGTTCGTCAGTCGAAGTGAAGGCTACGAATATATATATGTCATATGCGTCTGAAGGCAGACTGCGTGCCAAAAAAATCATAGTACGACAATCTTTATGAAAATGAAAAAAACATTTCCTGATTTGCATGTGGACTGAATACTTCCACAACCTGAGCCCTCGGTTAGTCGAAGCCTGACCTGCAAGACAGCGAGGAGCGGTGTAGGAAAGCCGCAATCTATTGGGGGCCGGTGTCCAGTTCATCGGATCATGCGCCCTTCAGACGGAGTCGAACGTCCAAGGTGCTCAATACACCTCGATACCGAATTGAACACCGCCACAACCGGGAAGGTGTGTGTGTGTTGTTCGTGCATCTCTTCTTGGTTGGTTTGGAATCAGGGTTTTTGGCCAACTCTCCTAGGTGAACTGCCAGTGGTTCAACAACCCCGTTATAGCCGCGGATGTTGGCCATTCACCTTCCCACTTTTGTGCGAAAACAACTCCGCCACCAGAAGGCAGTGAATAGGGTTTTGTCAGCAGAGACTATTCGAGACGGTTTTTCGTCCGAGAGCATTTCGCGAGGTGCAAGGGAAGGATGACCAGCCGCAACACTAGACATCCACCCCCGACCATACTGAGGCATTTGGAGACTGAGATTGCATGCGTGCAAGCAAGTGCGTGCGTACAGGACACACGAAAGCAGTTCATTTTGTCGGCAGGTAAATAACCTTCATGGTTTATGAAATTTGTTATAACTGTAGCTCAGTTAGTTTCTACAGTAGCCGTATTGCGTCAGGTCTCTAATTGACATGAAACCTCTGAACTAGTAGACTTTGCCTCGGGCATATTCCATCTCTTTGGTTTCCGTCATTTACCGAGCTCTTACCGGTGCATCCAAGAAGCTGAACTGAGTATTCTTTCTCTTTTCTTTGTACCTTTTTATTCAATATACAAACTGATGCAAAAGAAGCAGGGTTTGGTAGCGGATCAATCAAGGGGTTGTTTTGCCTAGAAAATGAAGAACCTCTGGCAGCGATTGTGGGATTCAAGCACGCATCATTCGGGGCTGTAGTTTGATGGCCTTGATCTTCTGACCACTAGCGTCACAANAACAGGACTCACGTTGGGGGTAATCGAGATACAAAATAAATTGGTGAGCTGGTTTGCGGTATGCGAGCACGTCTACCATTCAGTGATAAAACAACTGTAATTGAAATATGTTTGATGAAGAGGAGCTCTGGGTAACGTTCATATTCACATTGTTGTTTGGCAGATTGAAGTCTTGTGTTGAGATTGTGAAAAGTTCAGTGGTCTCGCTGGGATTCGAATCCATGTATGGACGTCGTTCACATTTTTGTAGAGCGCACGCTCTACCAGCTGAGCTACGAGACCACACCGATAGCACTGATCTTTTCCCATAAGACTTCAGTCTGCCAAACAACAAAGTAAACAGCTAACCTAACCTTCAAAGTTCATTCGGTGGACTCCAGTGAATCCTAAGGAAAACCTGTCGTGGCAGTCAGCCTACATGCTAACTGGTGGACGCCATATACATCTGTAAGTTGGATCGGCAATTCGAGCTGGAAAAGATCGGTGCTCTGTTGGTGTGGCCTACCCTATAGCCCACGGAAACGTTCATCCTCGCTCGGTAACTCACTCAAAAAGTACAGTTGTTTGTTTACGATATAGTCGGTTCACTCGGACTGGACGGGGTTTTACACAGACCCGGTCCAATCGGTGACGTTCGACGGCCCAGGCAACAATCATCTTTTGGGGTTCCCAATGGGTTGCGATTGGTTGGATTCACTTACAGTTGAAAAGGTATAGTTTTTATCATATTCGACCGAATTTTACGCCTTTCTGAAGATTACCAATTTTTAACCGCCTTCTAACAAGTGGGTATAACTGAAGAAGAAAGGTCCCAAATAGAAGTTACCAAATGACAGAACTGTCTTCCACGTTGACTCATCTGAGGCTGGTTTATCAAACGAGATTTTCATCTAGAACCCACTCAGTATTGCTTGCCAGTAACATGTCATTCCAACTGATTGCTGTTTTGCTATAGCCGTCCTTTTGTTCTTCCCGTTTCAGTCCCAAATCACGCAGTTAGACGAGCTGGAAAAAGCGGCACAGGAACGTGTGAATGCATTGGAAGAAAGCACATACATCGCCGAAGATGTTGCACAACCCGGAGCATTGCCATACGTGTTTGATCATGAACTGAAGGAGTACAGGGAAAGTGTGGAAAAAATCCGTACTGATATTTGGTTGAAGGGGTTTGATCGCAGCATTCAGGAATGCAATCGAGTTAAGCGCGAGCTGTCGGAAATGGAACAAAAGATCCGACACATGTCTGAAGTACGCCAACGTCTTATTGCTTTCTTATTAAAGGTGAGTATTTGCATCGACTGCAACACGGACAGAAAGGTTCATGTTACACAATTCAATGATCACTTATACAAGGTACTTTCAGCCGTGTTACTCAACACTGAAGTCTGGCTATTTCATTCTCGCTGGGGAGAAACAGTGGCGAATATACTCACTACATACACCGTGATTAAAACCGGTCTGGGAATTGTTTAATCCAAATGGTAAATAGTTACGCAGTCTGAGAGAGAAAGCTCGCAGCTATGTGCTCTCTACACCAATATTATGGGATACAGCATTCATCCACCTCAGTCAGCTCATGGGCTGAGCGCTCTAGGACGATCGTGATTCCATCCCGAATGCTTGCTTGGGTTTTTAATCAATTGCAGTGGTACATATCTCGTTTATCGCCTAATTCATACCACATCTTACTCATTTGCTCACTGTTTCAAATCAGGAGATTATCTTGTCTGTTCCCAGTAGCATATGACCACCAGAGAGGGTTACCAGACCAATAATAATACATATTTAAGAAAGTCAAATCTCCCTTCTTAAAGATCATTATTGCATTGGATATAGATACTCGAATATCGCCTTATTTATCCGTGATTAAGGGTTATTACTGTGCAGGAAATCAACAGAATCTTTGATTTTATTGGTAGAACGGCTCTCTGGGAGTGTTTTATAAGGTAATCACACTTCCTAATGTGCTTCACGGACAAACTTCGGGATTGATTGTGATGATCTTTTTGAAGTCGAAAAGGAAAACTGCCCCCGCGTCCTCCCCCTTTTCCAGTTCAATCACGGAAAATATTCTTCAGTGATGGAGATATAGAATTTACGTTTGATGGCACTTTTTGATTGCCTNAGTTCTGGAAAACAGGATCTTAATTCTTTTTATTCGGAATGAGAAGAACTGACTTCCTGTACTGAGTCTGATGATAAGTGATAAGTGGCCAGTAAAATCTCGGATCCGACGCAATTCAAACCAAGACTATATATAAATATATTTCGATACAAACCATGGTACACTAATCCTTATAAAAAGGAAAAATGTTCCATGATTTGCTTGTGGGCTGAATACTGCCGGGTTACCCATGCCAAGGCAGGTGAATTTTCTTGAAGAATCCACAACCGGAGCCTTCGGCTAACCAAAGCCTGATCTGCAGGACAACGGGGACAGTGTGTGAAACCGCAATCTGTTGGGGACCGGTGTCCAGTTCATCGGAACATACACCTTTGAGAGGGGTCAAATGTCCAATGTGCCCAATGAACCTCGGTGTCCAGTTGAGCCGGTGACCATTGCCACAAACGGGGAAATGTGGGTTTGGTGAGTGCAGCTCTTCTTAGTTGGTTTGGTATCAGGGTTTTTGGTCAACTCCCCTAGGTCAACTACCAGTGGTCCACCAACTCGGTTATAGCCCTGGATATCGGCTTTTCGTCCTCTCACTTTTGTGTGAAAACGCATCCGCGACGAGAAGGGAGGGAGAGTAGGACTTCGTCCGCAGAGGCTATTTGAGACGCTTGGTCCTGGATCCTGGATAGTCACCCCCAACCTTAGTGAGGCTTTCGGAGGCACTATCTTGTGATACAGTACTGTAAGCTCCGTGGATCTCCTTTAACGTTAATCTTATCTCGGTCTGATTACTCGATTG